TTCAATGTAAGTTTCTATCAACTTTAGGTCATTTCCAGTGTAATGTTCCTTTTACTACTAGTCATTAGATGTGTTTGTTTACACAAGCAGTATGTCTCTTAAAGGCCTCATGAATGAACATAAACTTTCTGAAGGCAAATGCTTATAATATTTGATAATTCTACAGTCACATACAAGGAAATTTCCTAAGTGGAAAACTTAACTTCTATATAGAACAAACTGTTTTTTTTTTTTTTTTGCCTTACACAAGGCACTAGGAATCCACTTGTATTAACAAATATAATATTCATTCATATACTTTCCACATGTATACACACATGCACATATTTCTAAGTCAAGAAATGTGTAGCAGTGTACATTGGATCTGTTGCTAATGAACTGTAAGACACATCTTGTAATGAAGGAACTGGTTGGAGAACTAGAAACTTCCTGAAGCAAGGGGGCACAGTTTGTGCTATTTCTATTTGAATTTTTCCCTTGCAACATCATGACCCAAGGAAGATATTAACAATATATAACTGAAACAAATGTGTAAGAAGTAACCCAACATGAAATAAGTGTATTCCATTATTTATTTACCTGATATTATTCTACTTTTAAAAAATGTAGTCTGCAATCCACTAAATTGATTTCAAAAACCAACAATACATCATGTCACATACTGATAATCCTGAAGTTTGGATGTGTCATTGTGTTTAACTGTTTCCCAACTAAGAGGTATGTCTTCTTCCTAGAGTCCCATTTGGAATCAGTGGATATTCACTTATTTGTTCATTGAACAGACATTTACTGAACACTACTAGGTGCTCAGGTCTGGAAGTCATGGATATAATACGAAATAAAATGTAGTATTGTCTTTAAAGATGTTTCCCTTATGTAGCAATTATATCTCTCATTTCTTCATCAAAAACACAATATGAGAGTTAACATATGTCAATTATATCCTAAAATATCTGTGAAAAAAGTTAAAAAAAGAAAAAAATGGAAAGTTAAAACAGAAGCAAAATTAAAACAACAAAAAAACCCACCCAATGTCAGACTAAAATAATCCCAATCTTAGAAAATAGTGAAAAGTATAAAACTATCTATACCATATTCTACTGTGGAGAAATGAAAATGAGAGCTTGAGTTTTTTCTCCTGGAAACAAACAAACTGGAATATAACTTGTTATGGGAAAGAAGGAATTATGAGGCATCTAATTTTTTCCCAAGTTGTGGAATCAGAATTTTAATAGGGACTTCAGGTGGAGGAAGGATCCAATGACTTATTTTGTTTCCTCAACTGAACCCTGAGATGTTTGGCTTCATGTTAATCAGTTCATTTGCCTAAAATTGGCAGTTTGCTTAATTAGCATTTAGCACAATAACATGCATATAGTAAGAATATCAGGTGACATTAGAATTACGTTTGAGGGGTCCCTGGGTGGCTCAGTCACGTAAGTATCTGACTCTTGATTTCTGCTCAGGTCGTGATCTCAAGGTTCATGGGTTCAAGCCCTACATCAGGCTCTGCGATGACAGCACAGAGCCTGCTTAGCATTTTCTCTCTCCCCCTCTCTCTCTGCCATTCCCCGGCTTACAGTCCCTCTCTCAAAATAAATAGATAAACTTAAAAAACCTACAAAAAAGAATATATTTGACTTTAATCTGTGACTCTGAAAACAGTAGTCTTAATCTAATATTCATACCATGTAATCATTTCCTTTACAACTTTAACAATTTGGAGTTCACAGTCATAATCACCATAATGTGCTCTCATGTGTAACCTCACTAGCTATCATAAAGCTATTTATAGAAATAATGATGGCAAGTACCCAAAGTACTTCTACTATTACCACTCGTATCAGTCTTGCTATTATTGCTATTACTTCTATAATTTATCGAGTTCACACTATATACAAGCAATTGAAATGCACAATTTGTATGAAGTATAATCTCATTTTTAGACAAAATTATAAATAGTAGCAAGTAAGTTGTAGAATAATATATAGGTGAAATGAGAATAACATAGAATAGAGAAAATTTTTCAAAATTATGAAATATTACATTTAAGAATAAGCATTTAGTTTTGTCAAAGATAACCATAAAAAACAGAATGCATCATTTTAATCTATATAATTCCATCAGTTTAATTACAATGATAAAAATTCATATTTGATTATCAATGTGGCTAAATCACTGTGGTAGCCAAAAAATACTAATATTAAACAGTAAGTGTTTTTTGTTAACAATATAAAAATTTTTATAGTTCATTTCTTTTCCTTTAGTATGCACAAATAAACCCGTCATTAATTTAACATTCTAGGGGAAATAGCTTAGTTTCCCTTACCCTAGTTTCCTTATTAAACATATCAGAAAAGCATTATATAATTTTGCAGCATTACTCAGTTTTACTTTGTTCATGTTTAAAGCTGTTTTTATTCAATTTTATCTCTTGTAAGAATGGAATTGCTTCACATATTGCATAGTTTGAGATAAAATTAGAGGTGATGCCTTTATTTTTTCCTCATCTCAAAATATTCATATTGTTATCTTTTAATAAGAAATAATTTAGGAAAAATTATGTTCCTTGCTAGCTACTGATTATACTCTAAAAAGAAAACAGTAAAGAGGGAGGAATGTAAAAAATTCACTTTAGTTATTATAGCTCTCACCATTTCAACTGCTAACTTCAATTATCAAGGGAAACACACTCATACAAGTTTATATAATGATGACACATTGTTTCCTCCCACACTCACAATTGATTATTATAAAAATTATTAAAATACAAGAAAATATAGATTGGCTTAAATGTGCCTGTTACTCCTTGTTATAAATATATACTGTACATTGTTCTAAATGAAGACTTGGAACATTTACCCATTATGTTTTTTGTAATATTTATTTACAATCTTATTTATTTTTGAGAGACAGAAAGAAAGAGAGCAGGCATGTACAAGAGGGGGAGGGGCAGAGAGGGGATTGGACACAGAATCTGAAGCAGGCTCCAGGCTCTATTGTCAGCACGGAGCTCCATTCAGGGCTTGAACCCATGAACCGTGAGATCATGACCTGAGCTGAAGTCGGATATTTAACTGATTGAGCCTCCCAGGAGCCCCCAGAAACTAAAAAAAAAAAAAAAGAAAAAAGAAAAGAAAAAAAGTTGATCTTCCTTTTCTGAAGGTCTGAAGTGAATCATACTGGGGTAAAATTAAGATGTCTGTATATCTACATGCTTAGGAGACTTTCTGTAGAAGAACCTGTTTCCTTTCTTTTCCAGCATTCAGAGGCTGCTTCTATTCCTCGGTTCATGGTACCATTTCTTCAATAGTGGCAATGCCAGTCTTTTTCATGCTGTTATTTCTTTGCTTTTGTTTGTTTGTTTATTTTTGTTTTATTTTTTTTTCCAATTCCTTCCTCCACTTTTAAAGACCCTTGTGATTACAATGGGACCAACTAGATTAATACAGGATAATTTCTTTATTTTAAAGTCACTGGATTGGCAGCCTTAATTCCATCTGCATCTTTAATTCACTTCTTCATCATGCAACCTAACAGTCACAGATTTTTGGAATTAGGACATAGAACCTTTGGGGGAAGTTATTCTGCCTATAATTCCATAATACCATGTAATTAACTTAAAATTGCAGACTCTAAAGAAGGGTATCATGGATTTTGAGAAGAATTTTAGGTTATATCACGAATGGGAACCAATTAAATTATTTAAGCAGGAGAAGCATCAATAATTCAATTTATCTTTTTAAAAGATCACTTATGTGCAGTGTACAGAATTAATAGAAGGAATTAAGAGTTGGATGAAAGGTGTGAGATGAATTCGATGAAAGGTGTGAGGAAAAGAAAACTTAACAAAGCATAGGTCCTGAATAGTTTAAATCAAATTTTGGGTTCCCACTTAGTAAGCTGGATGACTTTGTAAGTTTCTGCTGCAGTTCCCTCATGGGTAAATTGAGGATAATACTGGTTCCAAACTCAGTTTTTGATTTTGTTTTGCTTTCTAATAAACCTAAGATAATGGATGCGAATAAATCTAAAGTGTTAGTACATGAATACTTTTTACTAAATGTTAAATGAACAATTATATTAGGGGTAGAATTTACTAAATGACTGAAGGTGGGTTTAAGGCAAATATTGACAACGACTTCCAAGTTTCTGAAAATTGAGGTTTTTCAAATAATAAAAACTGAAGTTGCGGCATATATGGCTAAAGTACACACAAACTTTTGTTTTGTTTTGTTTTGTTTTAATATGGTGAACAAGATGCTTGAGAAAAATCCAAGTACAAATGTTGAGAAAAAGTTGCATATAACTTCCATTACTCGATGCAGCTTTGGAATTGAGAAGAGAATCAATATATGTCAAGGCCAATTCTGCCTTTTTTCACATAGAAGATATGATAGAATGTGGGTGCATCAATATTTTTTGTACCATTCATAAAAAAATTAAAATTGCCAGTAGAAATATGACATGCAATGAACTAACAGGTGAATTACTTTTTTTGATGTTAACACATTAGAGAAATGCACAGAGTCAATAGAATAAATTTTATTATTTTTGACAACTTATGAGGAGATTAAATCATCTAGGTAAATAGTGTAGAGTGAAGAGTGAAGGCCTTGGGAAGATTTGATATATAATAGTAGTGACTAAGAAATAGGAGATGAAGAAATAGAAATTATGGGTATAAGCAATACCTCTTTGAAGTTACTGTGAATGGAAGGGATCTGAAGAAAACAGTGTCTACATTTTTTTAAATGTTTATTTGTTTTTGAGAGAGAGAGAGAGAGAGAGAGAGAGAACAGGGGAAGGACAGAGAAGGAGACACAGAATCTGGAGGAGGCTCTAGGCTCTGAGCTGTCAGCACAGAGCCTGATGCCGTCTTGAACTCATGAACTGTGAGATCATGACCTGAGCTGACGTCGGATGCTTAACCAACTGAGCCATGTAGGTGCCCCAAGACATGGTGTCTAAAAATCCTCTTTTTCTTTCTTTTTTTGAAGATGGGAGCCATCAACACCTTTGAGCAATGAAGAGGGATTACAAGGACCAGTAGGGAGGAAGAAGATAACTGTGTAAAAGAGAAATGTATGTACAACTACAGAGGCCTTTCGCTGGGAGCCATTCATCTGCCTCCTCACTGAATATAGGAACCAGACCAACTTGCCCACAGACAATGTTGACAAAATGAAACTGTGGGTGAAGATGTTCTCCCACCAAGTGCAGAAGAATCTGGCTTTGAGGCCTGGCCTGGGCTATCTAGAAGGAAGTGACTACCAGCCTGGCCTATCTGCCTGAATGGAAGGAAAATATTATGAAATTATGTCCCTCACACAGATGCCCCACTGAAATTGAAGTCGAGAAGTGCAAAAAAGAATTGACACATCTCAGCAAAGAAATTGGAATTGATTTCATGATAACTGAAGAAGATCTCAACACATTTCTGGAAGAGAGACTGTGGATGCAGTGTGATAGTGAATAAAAGAGTGAAGGTATCTTTCAGACAGAACAGAAGCTGATCTGAACAACTCAATCCCAAAGAAACATGAGCACCTGAGAAATATATAAAGAGTTATACCAGTTGTAAATTTGAATCCCATCCTATAGTACCCAATCAGTGTGCAGAACACAGGCAGTATACCATTGGTACCCATTAAAAATCTGTTGTTAGTTTAAAAAGTAAATAAATACACTAAAATAAAATAAATAAAATAAATAAAATAAAATAAAGAGAAATAAGAAATTGAACAATATCCTATAGAAAGCCAGTTGTATGTAAAGAAGAAGCTGGGGTCCAACATACATGGTCATATAAATTTTCCCTGATGGGCAGAGAGATAATTCTGTCACTGTGACAGGGGGGATGTTCTGTCACTGTGACGGTGGGAGTACCTCCAGAGTTGCTAGAGAAGGATTGTGGCAATAAGAAAAAGAGTTCATTGGAGGGCTTTAATTCAGTCAGTGAAAGATAAGGTGAGGTCATCCACTAAAAGTAATGAGGCAGAGTTTAGATTCAGGGAGTCCATGAAAGAAAATAGTATGCAAATCATTGTAGCAAATAGTGAATACATGAATTCAATACAGAAATGCACCAACATGAAAAAGTGAAATTAAAAATTCCATTGAATATGGTGATAAAAAAAATTTATCCAAAGGATATTGTGCAGATTCTCTATTTTCTTGGCATAAAGTAAGTGAAGCTATTAATATTATCATGTAACAAATTCCAGATTATAAAATATTATTCAGTGGCCTTAAGCTACTTTAACACAAAAGAATGGATAAATTTATTTAGGATTGAGGTTTAGCAAATAGGAAAAATATCAATGGTTTGAAGAAATTTCCTAAGAGTGAAGACAATTCTGGATCATAGAATTCAAGCTGGACAAAAAGTAAAACCAAGAGCGTGTGTAATCACTTTGTCCACAATGATGAACATTAATATACTTAGGCTAATAACAGGAATCTGGTTAAAGATGTAAACTGTAAGTCTGATGCTAAACTCATTATAAACCATGGACTATCCACAGAAGGACAATAAGTGGCAATACTGAAGTTGCATGTTTAGTTAAATGGCAGTAACTTCAAGACAGTAGTATATAAGAAGTTCTAAGAGTAATAGCCACTGGGCAGAAGCATGGATACTGTGACAGTTTAGCAATATTTAACATTTCATTTGGATTGCAGTACCAGGAGAATGAGGGAAAGGGATTCAATGTGGCAATTTATGTCTAACCAAGTATAACTTCCTGTCATGTGTTTATTCCTTCAGGCAATGTTTAACAATGTGCTAGTCAATGAACTAATCCTAGAAATGTTGTGAAGGACAGAAATAGCAAGTCTCTACCCTCCTCAGTCATCTGCCATGCTACTGAGAAAAACAGGCTGGAAAAATGGCCATATCAGCCATGAGGAGATAGAACAGATAATATTTTTATGAGGCTGCAAAATGGAAGATCTCAAGTCCCTTTGAGATCTAAGGGTGCAGTAGATGTTAGCCACACATAAACCTCAAGAACAATGTCATAGGGAGAGGGAACACTATACATAATGGTCATGAACAGAACAGAATGCTCTATATTTATACTATTAGAAGACAGTTCTATGAGAGTACTGAAAGGAAGAGAAATGAGTGCTGACGGAGGAGGTTGATGATGTAAGCAGAGCTCAAATGACAGACATAACGTATCACAGGTTTGCTCAAAACTTTGGATTTTAAACTAAAAGCAGTAGAAAGTGTATCATCTTACACATGGAAGATACATGATGATGTTTCCAGTAAAAAAAAAAAAAATATGTGACACACTCACTACACTGTGAAGAGAACCTAAAGGAAGTTGACCTTAGAGTTGACCTTAGAAATATACTATGAAAGTGTGGTCAGAGAGAAGAGATCAAGAGAAGAGGATGAAGCACATTGCCCACCTGTGTGTCTGTGCTATGAATACACGCACCAGTGTACACATGAGAAATCTCCCCCCCACACACACACACAAATACATGCCCTCATACATGCATGCAGTTTAAGCAACAAGATGGTGCTTAATTGGAAGTGAGAGAATAGATTATAGCTGAAAGAAATGAAACACGGCAGACATTACCTGGTGCTTTAACCATAAAATTATTTACCTATGAAAATATATATTTACAGTACGGAAAACTAAATTAAAATTAATATTCAATCAAAGGATGTTTAAGTATCTTTGAAAATATAAAGGACAGTTTTATATAGTTTGATGTTAAAATCTGAGAAAACTTCCTCTGCAAATACGTGAAAAATTTAGCACTTTATATGAAGGAACTGAAAACGAAGAAGTTATCTGTTATACTGTATAGAGACACTCTTCTGTCCTCAGTGACAAAAATAAACAATTTAATTTGCTCAAGAATAATCTTTAAAAACAATGACTTTGCCAAAATACAGTTGTGCTGTCATATCTTTCTTTATGGTATGTTCTCAATACATTTCTCTAAACCTTTTAGCTTAGTGAAACATTTATTGTCTAAAAAAACGCATAAAGATAACTTTTCCCATCTCACTTCAACTCATCCTCCACCATGAGTCACTTTACTTCCAAAATGTGTTATGATATGCATATGCATATCATCTCCACTCATCCACACATCTCATGCTTGGACAGAATCTGTTCTCCATCCCTAGTGGGACCCCTGTCTCCTTAAATTCCATTAGGTGTGATTATCAAGAAATTACTTTCAGCCTGATCTCACTCTGCACACCAGATTTTATCCTGAACTCTTTCATCTAAATATATAAAAATAGTTTTCACTAGTGTGGTAGACACATATGATGAAGACTATTTTTAAGAGTATACAAACCACATCTTTTCTTGTTTTTGTCTTCCATTCAGATTATAAACTAATGCTGAGAATCCAAACTTTACTGGATACAAATATATTCATACAATGTCAATAGTATGAATCTCAAGCCCTCAGCTGCTCTGTGATCTTCTATAGATTGTTCCTAATTCAAGTAAAATTAATTTATTTTAATTAAAGTTTGAGATTGTATTAATCATATTTTATCATTCCTGCCACATTTCTTAGCAATGTTTCCAAATAATTCAAGCAGGAGAAAGGTTATCTTCATGAATTGAGTAGAAGAATCAATAGGCCTATCTTTTAAACTAGATCACCTTTATGATTCCTGAAAGACAGAGGGAAATGGAGTGGCAGATTACACTGTTATTCATACTGCCAGTTTAGAACTGGTATAAAGCAAAGCACAAAGTCAATGAAAAATCTTATATGCTTCCAAGTAGGGGTTCTAAAAGTTTAGAAATGATCTTTGTGAGTTATGTTAATGAGTCTGATCATTCTGACATTACAATAGCGGTTCTTGAAAATGAAATGTACAGGATCTATCTATGTATGAAAGACCTAATCCATTTATGGACTTCAACAGCCCATTTACATTTTATCTAAAAGGTATGAGGGGCCAATTGAAACAAGTTACCACTGACAAGAGGATGGATTTGTGTAGTAATTCAGATAGCTGCAGGAACAGGTTTTTATCATGGTTGACCTAGTGTGAACCAATACTTTCCTTTTAGAAATACTCTGATTTGAATTTTCATTAAGCCATGTAAAACATAGCACTTTCAACATAGTATGTATTCTAGAAATAAAGGCTATTAAGTTTTCAGCAGCCATAGAAAGCCTATAATTTATATCTTAGATGATGAGTCTTCAGATGGCTTTAAAACTGATTACATTTACATTTTTTGATTTAATCTTTTCTGTTCGCATTACAAAATGATAGCACATTGTTATATGCAAGCAAAGCTAATCTTTCTGACTTAGGAAAAAAAAATAGTACTAGAAAGTTTCCCTAGTTTATGCTCCCTTCTGTGTTGCTGCAAATACCAGATAGTCTATACTCTTTATTCTGAGCCTAGCATAATGTCTTTAATCTTAAATTCAGTGCAATGACCATGAGCATCAGAGCTCAGCACTACTCTTGTTGTAAAATGATACTTTGATTTAGTACTCAAAATGCCATGGAACTGAAGACTGCAGAAGTAATGTATCACTTTGCAACTATGGTAACTCAAAATAACAGGTTCTAATTATGAGATATTGATTGTATGCCACCAAAATAATGTAAAAATGCACTGAATTGCTGTTAAAAGTATAGTTAGTATACATATTTTATCTGTTTCCTAGAAAAGATAATTCTACCTATAGACTTTTCATTATTTTTTGCTGTTTCAGATGAGGACATATATGATGGTTTTTAAATTGAGAATGCATAACTGAGACAGCACAAACAAAAGCTATGGTGATTATTTTAAAATGTACATACTTGTGATAAATGTTTTAGTCATCCCCAGAAAGTTGGCATGGTTATGTTAATAGAATAATTATGTCTATTTACATATAAAATAAAACTGTGGGTGTGTCAATACAATAACATGAGTTTCCACTCAACTGATGACTGTTTGAATATTAAAAGAAGTTTGATCCATCCTCATCCTCTTTTGAGGTGAAATGAGACGTGCCCTATTTTTTATGTGTTATTACCAACATACTTGATCATTGCTCTCCCAGAATCACTTCATTATTCTGGATCCTTTGCAGCCAATGTACAGGAGGTGAAAGGGATCAAATTTTATGTAAACTAAGTTAATAATTATTGTTTAAAATATTCTTTGGGCTTCCTGTCATAATTAGAAAAAAGAACTTATATTCTTTACCATCGCCTTTAAGATATAAGAGCTGATCCTAAGCAGATGTAAATTGCTTACCATAACCACATAGTTAATAAGTGGTGTAGTAGAATTCTCATTCTTTTATTAGCTAAATCCAATACATTTCATATTCATAACTCTGCCTCTCCATGTCAACTGGAGATGAAAATTTATCTGATTATAGGCATATACAATCCCTTACAATGAATTATAGATTAACCTATCACCAAGTAGAAATATATCCATTCCAAACTGAGTGTACTCAGTTGAAGAAATACAGAGTAGGG